CCACCCCGGGGTGGCTTTGCCGCTGTGGCAGAGGGGACGGATGTGTCCCTCCTTGCTTGGTGGCCTTGAAGTAGGGACGTTTCCACCTGGCAGCATTCCCCTGCTTCGCTGTTGCCCAACGCAGGGCTTGGAGCTGCCCTGGGTCCCCATCGCACCTGGCAAGGGCACTAACCCTCTCCTCGCCCGTGCCAGGAGCGGCTTTGCGAAAATCTGGGACGGCGGTACCGGGCCATCGGGGTGCGCCTGGACAGCGGGGACCTGGCCCAGCAGTCCAAGGAGATCCGCCGAGCGCTCCGAGCCTGCGGTGCTCAGTGAGTCCCCCACCAAACCGGGGTTGGCTGCCACCGGTCCCCCTGGCTTCCCCACCTTGGGCACCCAGCACCTCATCCTGCCAGGGTGGGAGCCCTTGTGGCTCAGGGGGGTGCTGTGAGGGGAGTTGGGGGTCCCTCCCAAACCCTGTGCCCCCCCCCGCCTTGCCAGCTTCCAGGTGCCCTGGTTTGAGAGGATCCCCATCGCTGTGAGCAATGACATCAGCGAGCAGAGCCTGGAGGAGTTCAGGCGAGAGGTGAGGTCGCTGCTGTCGGGGCTGAGATGTCACCGTGGCTTTCGCTGGCACCACTGAGGTTTGGGGATGATGGGTGCTGTTCTCCCTGGGTGAGAAGAGAGAAGAATTTCCAGGTTGGGAAAAAAACCAACCACGAACGAACCAGCTTTTGGGTGGGACAGACGGATGGACAGACACCGGGCACCTCCCGGCAGAGCATCCTCTGACCTGTCCCGTGGCTCTGGTTTTGGCATGGGCATAAAAACCAGTGGCAGGGCTGGGCTGTTGATGGCCGCTGTCTTCTCTGCTGCACCAGGAGAGCGAGATTGATATGATCGGCGTCGGGACGAACCTGGTGACGTGTCCCCTGCAGCCATCGCTGGGCTGTGTTTATAAGGTAGTGGTGGCAGCAGCTCTCTGCCCTGCTTGGCTTGTGGGGCATGGGGCTCCCCGGCTTCTCCCAGGCTTCGCACAGCTGGGGCTGCGCAGCAAAGGGGGATCCGGCGCTAAGGGACGATGTTGCGAGGCCAATATCATCGAATCATGGAAGGGTTTGGGTTGGAAGGGACCTTAAAGCCCATCCAGTTCCAACCCCCTGCCATAGGCAGGGGCACCTCC